GATCGAACAAAACAAATGCTGTAGTTTATTATATTATTTTTTAGCATGTCATTATTATCGCTGTATAGTTAATTATTAATAAAGCTGACCCTAGTGGTCGAATTTCGCATACAGAATCATGTTTACTTTTGTGTGTATATTTCGTGAATTTATTTTATTGTATAATTATCGATGTACACATTACTTGCATATGATCAGGAATTTTTAAAAATTTTCTTGGCATCAGCGTTACAAATTGTAATGCACACGTGACTTTTATCTCCATGATAAATTGAATATACTTATATCTTAAATAAAAACAATGGTGGATATGCAACTTACAATAGAATCATTAAGAGAATTAAATTCCAGACTTGTTTTTCAGATTGATGAACTTAGAAAAAAGTTCACAGAGGTTGAAACCGAAAATATAAAATTAAAACAATCTTTTGAAAAATATGCAGTATTAAAGATCTGATTCAAAGAGCTAAAAAAGAAAAATAAAGTAGATATTGCTAATCTCACTGCTGAAAATATTAAGCTTAAAGATAGAGTCATGAAATTGGAATAAATTCAAACACATAATTATAATAAAAAACATATTGCTAAATTGGATAACAATATTAAGAAAATTAAACAGGTAAGTACACTCGTCCTAGAAAAACAATATTTAATTAATATTAATGCTTCCTGTGAAATGAACTCTGAGGGTAACATTAAACAAATAGACTCACAATATGGTAATATTTCCATATCTGATATAACTGATAATATTTTAAATTCTGATGAACCTGATGGTGCTTTTTCAAATATATCTGAAAATGTATCTGATACTGCTTCAAATCCTGATGTATGTTAGAAAATAGTGACTCAATACTCTGCATCAATTTGCATGGAAACTAAATCTTCAGAAGATAAAGAGATTAAAAAATTTTTAAATTGGGTGTATAAAGAAAACAGTAATGAAATAAGAGAAGGAAATTAGAAAAAGAAACTTCAGAGTCAAGGATCAGTACAAAATGCTTCTGATATACAAGATAAGGTAAATCCAGTTATCAATCAAGTACAAAATACTGAAGTAAAAATTCCATATAATAAAAAAGTCGAGCAAGACTTAAAGCGCAACTTATCTTTGTTCATTAAAGATAATAATAATAAAGTTAGTGAAGTATTTGATATACAAATTCTTGAATTTTCACTAGAAGCAATTATAACAGGATCTAGTAAAATTACAGCACAAAATATAGCTGATTTGTTTATTATAGCAATGAAAGTTAGACAAAAAGAGATTTTATGCTAATATTGCTACTATAAAGTATATGAGAATTGAGTTAAGAATAAATAAAATTTATAATTAATCAGCAAGAACATTGGTATATAATGAGATAAAAGCACTTCTTCCAGATATCAATGATGTAAATTTGCATCAAAGAACATTCAGAGTGAAAAAAATTTATATGTTATTTATAGGAATAGGACTAGAAAAAGTTCAAGCAATAATATATAGTACAAGTGCAATTTCGAGTCTAACTAACAATCAGATTCAAGATATTATACACTGTTTTCCTAAAAATTCGAATATAAATGATTCTTTTGTTAAATATCAAGAAATGATTAGTGTTACAAATTGTAATGTGTACGTAACCAAATCATCAAACTCAAATGATGCATCAAATATTAAGATAAGTATATCTATTGAATCGTCTTATAGCTCTAATTCAGAAAATGTGATAAACTAGATTAACAAGAACTGTTGTAAGTGTGAAGCATAACATATTTTAATAATTAGTTAAATAAACTAACTAGAGTTTTACAATATATATATATTATTTTTTTAATATATATAAATAATATCATGTAGGACTTTTTTTAATCAGAAGTCTAGTATAGTCTATAATAGCCAATTACAGTATAGTCACATAGCTGACAGACAGACATTTTTCAAATCAAAGATCTAGTGCTGTAGTGTAACCTTAACAACCAATCATCACCAAGTCACATGTCGGACAGATGGACATTTTTTAAATCAAAGGTTTAGTGTGGACCATAACAGCCAATCACCAACAAGTCACGTGCAGGACAGACAGATATTTTTCAAATCAAAGGTCTAGTGTGGAATGTAGTAGCCAATCATCAACAAGTTACATGCTGAACAGATGGATATTTTTCAAATCAAAGGTCTAGTGTGGAACGTAGTAACCAATCACTAACAAGTCACGTATCAGACAGACAGACATTTTTCAAATTTAAGGTCTAGTGTGAACCATAGCAGCCAATCACCAACAAGTCACGTACCAGACAGACAGACATTTTTCAATTCTAAGGTCTAGTGTAGACCATAGCAGCCAATTACTAACAAGTCATGTGCTGGACAAACAGACATTTTTCAACTTTTACATATAATATAAGTCCTCACTATGCTTTGGACAATGAGAAAGTTAAATATTTACTAAAGATTAAGGCAAGTGTACTGTTTAATCCAACTCGTGATCATGCTTATTTTTATAATAAAACATTGGATCAATATCCTAATTTATATCAAGAAGGTAGTAATAGAAACAATAATTATTATGGAATTACTAAGTATTTTTTATACTCACTATACAAGTTGGATCATGATGATGATAATGGTATAGAAGACAGATATGAAATTAGATCTTACTATATTAAATGTGAATAGCATAGAATTGAAATTGAGGTAACAGTATAAACTTTAAACTTATACTAGTACAATTTGCTTAAGTCTTCTGAGACATATTTATTTTTGTTTGTTATTATTAATTTAAAGAGATATAAGATCATATAAATGACAACATAAATATGCAAACAATGGCTAATAAAACATTAACTCCCGAATATTTGGAGTGAAAAGCTAAATTAAAAGAACTGCCAAGCCCTTTAACAGATAATATTTGTTCTAGGTTATATAAAAGATACAAGAAAAAAACTGGGCTCATTTTCTGGATAATGTCTGAAACCTTTAAGTTTCTACAAATCGAAAAGGATGCTGAAAAAAAGACGTTATTTGTACCACAGATAAATGTTCAGCCTATACAATCCAAACTTTGATCATCAATTTCTATTCTATCTAAAGATCCAGAAGAGAAACAAAAACATGTTATTAAAATAGTATTAGAATGATTTCTTTATTTAACTTTAAAACATAGTTTTAAATATAGTAATTATTTTGATTTTAATAGATCTGTACTCTGCCTTTTATATAGTGATATCAATTTTTGTGGCCAAACAATTTTTGAGAGCCGGCCAAATGGCCAACTGGTCAATGGCCAATGGTTAATAGCCAAAGTTTGGTTAAAAATTTCTAATATATATAATTTAGCCAATCATTTTGCTAGTTTTTACTATATAAATATTTGGCTATTTTGGCCAAATAATTTTTTATGCATTTTGGCCATTTGGCTATGGCTATTGGCCGGTCAAATAGCAAATTAACAACACTGCCTTTATATAATAAAAATCATAAAAAAGAAAATATAAGAAATTATATAGAGGGTTTATAGAGAAGTGAAGATTATATCAATATAAAAACATATCACCTTACATGTTGGAGAAATAAATATCAGAATTCAATCCAAATAGTAACTATAAAAGCATAGATTAATAAGAAAACTAGGTATGACTCTGTTATCTTCACTAATTAATAATCGCAAACTACATTGTAAAAAATCATGTAAAAATTAAAAATGGGAGCCTAGCAGACCTCTCCCTTTATTATTATAAAAAATTCTATTGTCAGAATGACAACATAATATACAAATAAAAATATATATTTCACTATTATAGGTACAAAAACAAATAAAAAAAATTCAAATAATTTTTGTCTCTGATCCTGGTAATTGTTCTACAAGTATATGAATAATATTTGATCAGGATTAATATTGTAAAGAGTGTAAAGGTTAGTATGAGGATATATATTTACATATTCTCCTTGGGTGGGGCAAAATCTAAGAAGTCAGCAAGATGTACTTGTTGCACCAGATGATAATAAGAACAAATGGGCTTGAACTTGAGTTTTTAATGTTCAACACTATTTCCATTAAAAACTCTGATTTTAAAAAAATGATACAGTAAACAGAGTATAATAAGACAATTAAGATCAATATATTTATTAGCTTTAGGATTAGGTTCATTAGTCTTGGGGTGGTAGTATTGTCTGTACTACTCATTTTATGTTCTTAAACACAAAAATATACATCAGCAAAA